ATATGGCACCTCATTGCAACGAGTTTGATCATATGAATAGTACCCAACTTCAATTGATTCTATTAGTTCCTTTATATTGCTTTTTTCTATTGCATCAATCACGAATGTCGCCAAATGAGGAGAAATAGAACCAACAGCTTTCCCATTCTTAAAGGTATACCATGTTATTACATCTCCAAGGCCCAATGATGACATGATGTCCTTCACTTCTGTAATACTTTCAGCATTTTTTAGAACTATGCTAATTGTTTCTACTTTTGCAAGACATGGGAGAGGATCTAATAATAACAATAATAATATAATGACAACTATAATGATGATAACAAAAATAATGATGATGATGATAATGATGTTATGTATACCCACTAGCTTCACTTTCATTTGTTGTCTTTCTGTAATAAATATTATTTTGCATGGCTATCTCACTTTGTACAAGTGACTCTTAATTAAGTATGCATGGAGACACATCTATGATGTGGGGCATGCATATAAGTACAGGAATAAAATAATCTACATATAACATCATCAGTTGCAACTCTAAAGTTTTATAGATAGGAACATTGTTCAGATCATTTGGAACCTTGTCATTTGGAACTTTGGAACCTTACCTTCATTTGGATTAGTGATACATTTATCATCAAACTTAATATCAGCAGCAGCTAAAAAATATTGAAAAATTATTCTTAAAAATTACATAACTTACAATACTGTATTTCAATCTCTTTACCAAGATTTTCATCTCCAGTAGTCACACATAATAATCGAGCAAACACCAGGAGTGATTTGTGATCTTTGCAAATGGCACGATGAATTTGTATGAAAAGAATGTAACGCTTGAGTAGTAAATCAGATCCAAGTACTTCCGTGACACTCTCTTCATTTAATATTCCTTCCTTTTGAAGTAGTCTAACTATAAGACAAGGTCCATTGAGGTTCAGTAGTTTCTTATTCACACTTTCATCGTGTAAAATGTGAATAGCACGTTGCTCAATAGTAGCATCAGGATGGCATGTTGGATCAGTTGTAGAAGTTTCTAGATAAAATGACTCAATAACTGCATGTAATTCATTGTTAATTTATTTTTTTATAATTATTTTAACAATTTTTACAACTGAGGTAACCTCTTACCTTTAGGCAAAGGTTAAATTTATGGCACACAATTAGTAATGGGTTTACAGTAGGCCATTTACACATGAATTAATATTTATAATGAAAATAAATAAACCCACCAAATTGATTAAAAAATTCATGCACTGCTGTCGAAAGACATCACAAGTTAGGCATGCATCTCACATAAAGGACTGACTCCTAATGCACAAAGTCCAAACTTTTGAGGGATTAAACCTTCGCGGATCTACCCAAAAATCCTTTTTTTCGGATTTAATTATCTAAAGCATTAATTGTGCCATCTTATTAAGCAAATTTCAACAAAAACGCCAAAGAGCAAAAGCTATTGGCCTTAAAGTTTCCAGCCATACAGTACATATCATAGTAAATTTTTAAGTGTTTGAAGTCAAGGAAGAAAAATAAAAACAGCAAAAAGGTCTATCTAGTTACCGTGTCTTTCTTCCTTAATACCATCAGCTGCAGCATTATCTATTCCTCTAAGAAGAGCAGCTATCAGTGTATTTATTGTTGGATTCTCCACACCATCAGCTTTACGCAGCCATCAAACCAAACACTCTCTAAAGCAAGGATCGACTTCTCCATGATCACTCTTTATCTTCTCTAATGTGTTTTGAGACAATTTAAGACGCAGGCCGAGTTCGTGGTATGAGGCCTTGCTGTAGCGATGTCTTTCAAGTAATTTAATGACAGGATCAAGATCTTCAATGGCTACATAACAGAAATCACTGTAATAAAAAAAATCTTGCTTAGCTCTACTTACTTAAAGTCCTTTCATAAAAGGCCCAGGAAATAGTCTTGCTGCTGCTGCTAGCCATGGCGCTCGAGCCCCGACCGCTCGTAGAATAGTCGTATGCGCTTGCGCAGTATCAGCGAAGCTCTAAATATAATCATAGATTACATACCGTAATTTGCCTTTTTTCGTACAAAAATTTTTCGTTTCAGAAAAATTAAAGTGGAAATATTTTCGTCTTCTCATAGTGTACGAAATTTTTTACGGTCTGAAAATTTAGCTTCTCTTGCATATATCTTGTCCTTTACCTACTGGTAACAAGGCCGCTATAGTAGTGTTTATAATTCTTGAGATAAGAGATTCTTGACCTGGCTGTTCCCCGACATTACTAGTATACGGATAGTACTGGAGATGCAGCAATGACCAGTTTACGGATAATAAACGGAAACATTAAATGGCTACTTTGTCACATGGTGGACCGCTTTATTTTATAACTCAGTAGTGAAGCAACTGATTGAAGTACAGCAAGCACCAGTGGATAGAGCAAGGTTAGAGCTGCAAGAAGATACCTACTTATCAGGCCGTACCTTAGTATTTCTTTGATGAATTAGGTCACAAATTTTGGTTGCTCAAAAAATTTTCGATTGAAATATTTTCGTCATTTTAGGACCATACGAAAATATTTCCACAACGAAAAAAAGGCAAATTACGGGTAGATCTAATCTATGATATAATCTATGCTCTAAACTAAGGAACAGGGAAGTGCAAGTATGGAATTTTACAATTAACACGAGAATTAACATGTCTGCTCCAACTGACTCATGACTTATCTCTCTTCTCAGATTATCAGCGAGTGGAAAGAAGTGGTCACTCGACAATAAAAGTAAGAGACTACCTGCGGTACATGTGGGGTGGTGTCGAGCCTGGTCTACCAGCAGCTCACAACAATGAAAAGAAGTCATCTGTCATTGACTCGGTCATTGAGTACCACTTACCAACAGAGGCCTGGGAGCAGAAAGCAACATTTGGTAACCCACCACTTGGTATCGAGGCTATTGCAATCATGACGACTGCTATCACAACAACCACAGCCTGTACAGTTTTAATGTCGATACCCTCACTTGGAAGCTACTATCATCAACCACCCCTCACCACGGCCCGAGAATGAAGCACCACCTGATACATTTTGATAGCAAGAGCTACCTTGTATTGATCGGGGGATACGGCCCGGCATATAACAATACGCTTAAGCAACCCAGTACTCAGTATTGGCAGAAAAACCTTGTCATGGCTGGAATTTCAGTCTCTCTGTGAATAATGTAGAATTGAAGAGTCTCAGTCTACAAGTGGCAATGCCCTCCGATCTACATTACTCTCCTGCCCTGGAGCCTTCCCAATTGATACACAATCTTGAGCATCCATACGATGTTGCTGTTAATGCAAGTGGACAGGTTATAACGACCGAATCAATCAGTCACACTGTCAAGGTAATGGATAGGGAGCTAAAGACAGTTAAGACTTTTGGCGGTGAAAACAGTTGCACCAATGTCAAGTTCTCTTACCCACGAGGTGTCACAATCAGTCCAGGCTGGATAACTTCATTCTAATAACAAAATGGAGTACATAAGATATCAATAAATGGACATGACAGTGGGTCTTCAATTAAAAAGGGCAAGAAACCTGAGTTTTATACACCCGAAGGTATAATTGCCTTTCATGTCACACATCACATCTATGTTGCTTATCGTGGCAATCACAGAATTCAAGTGTTCAATCCAGACTTGACTTCATTTCTTGTGTTTGGCAGCAAAGGTTCTGGTGAGGGCAAGTTTGATGAACCTTGGGGTCTAGCTATTGACAGTGACGAGTTTTTTTACGTCGTCGACTCTAAAAATCACCGCATTCAAAAGTTTACTTCCAAAAGAGAATTTGTGATGGAGTTTGGCAAAACTGGAGAAGGGACTTTATTGTCTCCTGCTGGTACAACTATCAGCCACAAGAATCAGTTATATGTCACAGAGAAGGGAACTCATTCTGTTGCTGTGTTTGATACTGAAGGTCACTTTATCAATCGATTTGGTTGTCATGTTAGCAATCCTGACTATTGTCTTAAATGTCCTGAGGGGATTGACTTTGACTGCAATGGACTCTTATACATTTGTGACTATTTTAATAAAAGAATAGTAGTATACTAAAAATAGTAACATAGTAAATCATGTTTGTTGTTTCAGTTGGTATTTTTGTATAAACAGTCAAATGAATTTTAATTCACTCTGTTATTGATAAGCTTAAGATAATTTTGATTGTGAATTGTAAAAACATTCACATGACTGCTTTTATAGGGATACTCCCCTCTATTAAGGAAATAACAGGTACTACAAAAGGTTTAATACCACTGCTATTTACTAAAAAACTGATACCAAATATTTGAAACTAACTTAAGAAAATACTATAATAAGTACAAGCATTTATAAAGGTACACACAGCATCAGAAGTCTATTAACTATACTAGTAAAATAGAACATTGCTAAACTATTACTATAATAAAATAGTCAGCACCACAAAGAGAAAAAAAACTCAGTTACAAAAAGCTCAGTCTGTCTTTAATGGGACCATTAGTTTTAGAAAATTCGTAAGCAGTTTCTTGATGAGACTGGTCTAGGGTGAGCATTTGAAGAGTGTTGTTCTTCCTTGCAAGAGCAAGTAGGATTTTTACCACCCCAGCTTCATTGAACCTTAGGCCAAGAGCAGAGAAGTACTGCAAAGTTGAGTTCCTCCAAACAACATCCGAAATAGCTTGTGCGTAAGAAGCAGCACTTGTGGAGGAGAGAGGCAGTATCATTTGACTGCTGAATTGAATGGTGAATTCTTTTAACGAGTCATTAGTCAACAGGACATTAAAGATGTAGCTCAAACCAGTAGAAGGAAGAGAGACATTTGTAAGACGAAGAGCCTTGAGCCTTTCCAGCAATTTAATGATGGATTGAACACTGTCATAAGATAAAGGTGTCCTGTTGATGTGGAGACATGTTATTGATTCTGGCAGTCGTAACAAAATGGCAGAAGCGGAATCAACAAAAGCATCATTCAAGGAGAGGACAGCTTGTCAAATTTGAATTTCTTTGCACGTCTTAAGAGAAGGAGCCATTAGAGTAATCTCTGAATCAGACTCAAAAATGTTTTCTACAGGTAGTATATGAACCAAAACATCTTTTTGTGACTGGAATAAAAAAAATACAAACCTGTATGGGGATCAAATTCTTGCTGTTGTGGCACTGGTGTGGGCTGATTTGCTGTTTCCTTTTTGATACTGGTTTCCTTGTGTACAGGGCTATTTGTATCAACTATATAAAGTACAATAATCACTTAAATAGTATACATCTATAATATTGCTAACATACTTCTAATATTCCTTCTTTTTTCTACACTTAACATTTCTTGGAGAATTCCAACTTCTGCTTTAGCGTCAGCTAACTGCTGTAATGCACTATCACTCAGCTCTATAATTTTACATGACTTTTAAAATTTGAACTTATTACATCTACCTGTTTTCTGTTGTAGATTTTTGGTCAAAGCCTTATTTTCGTTTTCTAAACCTAATTAT